TGCACTAAACGTGCTCGATCGGACATTTCTATTCACCGTAATCGTTGTGTGAAATTTGCTAGGTTGACCGTTGTTCTATTCTACTATCTTAAACACAAGAGACAGAATAAGAAAATAAAATACTCAGGTGGACTCGTCCGTCTACTGAGTCCTTTTATTGGTGTGTTCTTCTCAAAGTATTTCGATTATAAGCGCACCATTATGAATGAGTGTTACTAATTTTTTCTTTGTTAGTAACTAATAATGAAGAAAATGACGTGGTGACCAAATAATAAATTAATGTGCTTAAAAGAAACGAATAATACGAACTTGACAACCATTAAATTTAAAAAAATATAGATAAACGCATTATAAATCTCAGAGATTTATGTTCAGAGGAAGCAATGGCCTCAATATGGTCTACAAATGTGAATATTTCATAACTCTGAGTCGAATAGTAGCTGACCGTTTATATTATGTGAGCAAGAAACGGAAATTATTTCTCTACATTCAAATTCGGAGCATTGTGTAAGACCATATCGAATGACATTTAGATTACGTTGCAGATGATTTACACAGTAATGTGGGAGATTGATGCAGACTGTTTTCAATAATCGAAGTAAGACAAATACAGGGTGCTGAAAAAATGGCATATTAACTCTATGAGACGTTGTTGAGGAATACAGAAAATGTAGTCCTTCAAAATTTAACTTTTATTTTCAATATTTCACCACTTAGTGTTGGATACATGAAATCAATTAGACCTCCATTATTCAAAATAATTTTGGAAGTATCTTGTTGTCATCCACAGTTTTCTTCATATTATAGTAATAACAAAAACCTTAAAACTTGTTTAGAATGAATTAGACAAGTGTGGCTAATTTTTAGAGTTTTTTTATTTATCGGTCTAAATCGATATTTTGTTCTTCCCGAACTTAGACTGAACTTAATAATGTACCGTTGAGTTGGCGTGCCCTTTTTGTCAGCACACTGTAGGCTATTAAAATGACTTACATCATTCTTAAATAAAACAAAAAAAACAGTGATTTTAAGCTAGAATCTTGAATTACACCTGACGTCGAGATTTTGATGGGATTTCCATTATAAAAATTACAAAAATTCGACAATGCAGTATTGTTATTATTAGTATTGTGCTACACCTATCCAAATTGACAAACAACTCATCACAAATTCTGTAAAGGAAAAACTCGTTTGAAACATAGACGTAGCACGGTTCTTTACATTAAACTTTAATATTACGTGCACATTAGTAGATTTCGCCCATTGCTAAAATAAAATCCAATTTTTATCTCACAGTACATAAAATAAGCCAATGAAATTCAAAAGCGGAGGTGGGTGGGGTTAATTTTTACTTTGTATCAAAATAAAAACCATTTTCGTCCAATAAAATGAGTGATCAAAAAGAAAACGGGGAGGGCGGGCGTGGCCACTTTGAAGTTTTTTTCTAATCGTAGATTTTACCACTTAGTAATATAAAATTCAACTTTCATCTCGCAGTAAATAAAATAAGCCAATGAAATTCAAAAGCAGAGGTGGGTGTGGTTAGTTTTATCAATATAAAAACCACTTTGAAGTTTTTTTTATCGTACCACTTGCCAGAATAAAATCCAATTTTAATCTCACCTAAATAAAAATAAGCCAATGAAATTCCAAAGCGGGTGTGGGTGGGGTTGGTTTTACCTTTTTTGTCTAAATTCCAGGATTTATCAATATAAATTCCACTTTTCGTCCAATAAAATGAGTGATCAAAAACAAGTAGGTAATTGTGTTGTTCAAAGAAAATTATATGAATGAAGTAATAAAGAAAGTCAAAGTTTAAGCTCCGCCCCGATCTCAATTGTGATGAATTTTTCATTCGTTGTCACACCGAGGGGCGGAGCATAATTGCCAAATCGATATTTCCCTACAAAATTTACCATTTTAAATATGATTAAGTTTCTTGTTGTGAAAAGGAGACTACATATATTAAGAAAAAAAAAGGCAAAATATAAACCCCGCCCACTCACCCTGTCTCAATTGTGAGGATTTTTTTTATTCGTCGTGGCTCGAGGGGTAGAGCTTAATTGCAATCCTCATTTTTCGCCAAGAAATTACCAACTGAAACATAATCTTAAGCAAATAATGGTGTTGTCCAAAGAAAATTATATGTATTAAATAAAAAAGAAAGTGAAACTTTAAGCTCCACCTACAGCCGCCCCGATCTTAATTGTGATGAATTTTTCATTTATTGTTACACCGAGGGGCGAAGCATAAATGCAAAATCGATATTTCTCTACAAAAATTTATCATTTTAAACATGTTTTAAGTTTCTAGTTGTGAAAAAGAAAATACATATATTAAGAAAAAAAAAAACAAAATATTAGCTCCGCCCACCGCCCTATCTCAATTGTGATGATTTTTTTATACGTCGTGAGCCGAGGGGCAATCCTCATTTTTCTCCAAGAAATTACCAACTGAAACATAATTTCAAGTAGGTAATAGTGTTGTTCAAAGAAAATGATATGCATTAAATAAAAAAGAAAGTCAAAGTTTAAGCTCCACCTATACCCGCCCTGATCTCAAGTGTGACGAATTTTTCATTCGGTGTCACACCGAGGAGCGGAGCATAATTTCCAAATTGATATTTCCCAAAAAAATTTTACCATTTTAAACATAATTAAGTTTCTCGTTGCGAAATGAAGACTACATATATTTAGAAAAAAAGGCAAATATAAGCCCCGCCCACCCGCCATATCTCAATTATGATGATATTTTTTATTCGCCGTGAGCCGAGGGGTGAAGCTCACTTACAATCCTCATTTTTCGCTAAGAAATTACCAACTGAAACATATCTTAAGTAAGTAATCGTGTTGTCCAAAGAAAATTATATGTATCAAATAAAAAAGAAAGTCAAAGTTTAAGCTCTACCTATACCCGCCCCGATCTCAATTGTGATGAATTCTTCATTCGTTGCCACGTCAAGGGGCGGAGCATAATTGCAAAATCGATATTTCCCTACAAAATTTACCATTTTAAATATGATTAAGTTTCTTGTTGTGAAAAGCAGACTACATATATTAAGAAAAAAAAAAAAAAGGCAAAATATAAGCCCCGCCCGCCCGCCCTATCTCAATTGTGATGATTTTTTTATTCGTCGTGAGTCGAGGGGTAGAACTTAATTGCAATCCTCATTTTTCGCCAAAAAAATACCAAGTGAAACATCATAATCTTAACTAGATAATCGTGTTGTTCAAAAAAAATTATATACTTATATGAAATAAAAAAGAAAGTTAAAGTTTAAGCTCCACCTACATCCGCCCCGATCTTAGTTGTGATGAATTTTTCATTTATTGTGACACCGAGGGGCGGAGCATAACTGCAAAATCGATATTTTTTACAAAAAGTTATCATTTTAAACATGTTTTAAGTTCCTTGTTTTGAAAAATAAAATACATATATTAAGAAAAACGAACAAAATATTAGCCCCGCCCACCCACCCTATCTCAATTGTGATGATTTTTTTATACGTCGTGAGCCGAGTGGTAGAGCTTACTTATAGTCCTCATTTTTCTCCAAGAAATTACCAACTGAAACATATCTTAAGTAAGTAATCGTGTTGTTCAAAGAAAATTATATGTATCAAATAAAAAAGAAAGTCAAAGTTTAAGCTCTACCTATACCCGCCCCAGTCTCAATTGTGTTGAATTTTTCATTCGTTGCCACGTCGAGAGGCGGAGCATAATTGCAAAATCGATATTTCCCTACAAAATTTACCATTTTAAACATGTTTTATGTTGTTTGTTGTTGTGAAAAAGAAAATATATATATTAAGAGAAAAAAAAAAAGCAAAACATATTCGGCTTCTTTTTCTTAATATCCATAGCTTTTTTTTTCAACGACGCGAGACTTAAAAATGTTTCACGTGGTAATTTCTTGTAGAGAAATATAAATTTCTTAATTAAGCTCCGCCTATGACCAATAAAAAAAAATAAGTACAATTGAGATGGGGGCGGGTGGGCGGTGCTTATCCTTTTACTTTCTTTTCGTAAGAAAATGGTCCTCTTTCAACAACGAAATTCGAGTACTTAAAATATCAAATGCTGAATTTTAGGTTAGAATTATTTGCAGCTGCGTCGTCAGAGTAGCCAGATCCACCGATTTACGTTACAAATTTACAAAAAAGTGAAATTGTGAATACTAAACGTTTTATTTTCGTATAGTTTTTTCTTCTTTTTCCTTTTAGTTTTGAGAGAATAAGAATATTATTTCCCTGCTTTTTGTTCTTTTTTTTACTTTGTTTTACTTTTTTACGTAATTTTTTGTACAGACATATGGAATTTGGAATTAAGGTCCCCCCCCCTGGTCACACGACGAATAAAAGACCATCGCAATTTGTATCCCCGATCCAAGTTGTGATAAATTTTTTATTCGCTGTGAGACCAGGGGCGGAGCTTAATTGCAAAGGTCATACTGCTGTATAAGAAATTAGCAAGTGAAATATGTTTGGGGTATTATCGTGTTGTTGAAAATAGACTAATTTGAGAAAAAATAGCGAAAAAATATTCTCCCCAAAGTAAAAGAAGAAACTAAACAAAAATGGAACTACAATGTTTGTAACGTATAGCCCATTAGAATTTGTATCGAATACTAAAGGCACCAATGTATATATATATATATATATATATATATATATATATATATATATATATATTATACTATTTAATTCTTGTTTTTCATAAAGTTAAAGATAAACAAAAATCAATTTAAATGCGTTATGCGGTATAGGTTGTTTTAAGTTTATCTCCTGTGTTTCACTGTTTCTCTGTCTCTCCAGCTGCTTCACAGCTTATACAATACAAAAATGCCAGTCTCCCATTCCAACCTGTTCGTCGGAGATGTTATTAGACAGATAATCTCCGAACCTACTCCACAGATTACTTTGAAATTTTAGATCCATTTAAAGATAGTCGCTTATATGGTAATTCCAGGAAACCACAATAACCTTTAAATGAAATTTCCAGGGCTTCACCGTGGCTCTGTTCTACTGTTTCTTGAACACGGAGGTGCAGAATACCGTACGACACCACTTCGAGACGTGGAAAACGCGAAGGTCCTTAGGACCGAGCAGACTGCGCTCCGGAAGCAGGAGCAAGGATTGGTCGCCCAGATCTAGGACTGAAAGTATTCGGTGAGTTGTGCTCGATGGGCCGAATCCAGCTTGAATTTGGAATAAATTGGAATTTTAATGGCATTTTCGGGACGGATTTGCAATGCTGATGGACTCACCTGTTACGAAATGCATTTAGGAAAATTGTTTGCGGGAGAGGCGGTTCATAACAAAAAATTTTAAATTTTGCATTTGCATGCTGAGTGCAGGACGTACGGAAGCTTTTAGTTTACACTGAGCGGCATTTTTGATTACTTAAATGCCCGTTTTGGTGATGTTTCATTTCTCCGAGTTTACCGGAAATTGGAGATATAATAGTTTTTTATGGCGTATTGTGCTGAACACAGCGGTCGCGGAAAGAAGGCGGATGCTAGTTTTTCGTGGTGAAAGAATTCATGGCGTAATTTTTCTTTTCTTTTCAGGACTCAATTTTTCAGTTTGCTTTTTATACGTCTAGCAGTTTCGTGAGAATAATCAAATTTTTTCACAAAGTTCGTGTTTTGCTAAGTGAGTTTGGGTTTAACATGTTTTAATCCGTTAACTGTGTACAGAGGAAAAAATATTTTTAAAAGTTTTACTAAGAGATTTTCCGAGCGTACGACTGACTCCTAGAGTAATGAAAAATAGGTGTCCCGTTTCCGTCTGTCTGTCGTCTGTCGTTTGCTGCTGACGATTTTATTAAGTAAATAATTTCAGGAACTACTGGAGTGATTGATGTGATTTCTTACTTCCTTCTAGATGTCGGAATTTATTTTCCACAATCACCTCCGATTAGTAAAATTTAAAAAATTTTTTGAAATAAAATCTGCTACTTATTTTAAAGAGAAAAACGAATTTTGCTCGAAAGGATTTCAAACAATGACTTAGATGTAAACTCGGAGAATGTTCAACGTTACAGCTTTCATATTGCTGGTTTCATAGGAAACTTTTCTCATAATCTGACCTCACTAACAGGTAACAGCATTACATAGATCGGGATTGAACTACAAGTGCGAATTTATTCCAAATCTGGGCCAAATTCCCGCAACTCAACCCCCGAAGTGATCCTGAATCCTGAAATCCGAGTCAGCAGGTCTAACAATAACTCACTTCTGACAAGCCTACGTTTTTTGCAGTCATTATCGGCGACTGTTGACTATGAATTTCGATATTCGATGATGGATCACCTCCGCATGTCGCCTTTTTTGTCGTATTTATTGCTTTTTTCGACGTCTTTATTTATTTGTCACCGAATAATCCATAATGCATGTTGCATGTTGGTTGTCAGAGATACGGAATGGACATTGGTAATGCCGGATGATGTCGAACCTGAAGGAAAATTCGCCGGGCGCCGTCAGACCAACGGATGCGTTCGCTAAGACCGTGTTTTGCCAGTCCATCCCGAGGCGCTTTGCACGGAGATACAATTTAATACTGGAATTCGTATATTTTCAAATGTAATAACATACTGTGCGATACAATTCTTATTCGCCTCTGGACTAACATGTGCTGGGGATGGGCGAGGGTTTGTTGAACTGTTTCATATTGTTTTGAATTAAAATTAAAAAACAAAAGGAAAGCGGATCTGTGGGTTGTTGGTAGATGTTCGATTTTGGAAGATGTAGTTAGTTGTAAAATAAGGAAGCACTTTGTCTATGACCAGATGTGTTTTCTTTGCAATGTTATTAAAGGCAACAGCATCGATTTCTTTTATGTTAGTAGATAGGTTTTTTATTTCGAAATCGAGCTTTCAGGATTTCATGGAAATCGTGCCTTATTTTACCTCATTCCAAACGCTGGCGCGCAGAGAGTGTAAATCGAAGTTTTAAAGGCATTTTTTTTGTTAAAATTTTGGTGTAATTTAATTTCACAGTTTGTGCTTACGAAATTTCAACAAAACCCAATATCGCTATAACGGCGTATAGAACAAACATTTTTCAACACTTTCATCACAACGACCATTGTGGGCCTAGTCTTTCGAACATCAATTTTTTAACCCATAAAAAACAAGTGTTCTCATAAATCACTCGAGTTTGTTTTTACGATTGGCCACGTGAGACCCATCGACAAAGCTCAAAGGTAATTTGTGAAACGAATTTAAAATCTAGATAAGTTACGAGTAAAATGTGCGTCGATTCGCATGACAAAAATATGAAACAGTTCGAACGCACCAGAATTAATTACCACAAGTTAATACCCCTTAGGCAACTAAAATGTTTTGCGTTGTCGTGCATATTAGTTTCCCAGCGGTTAATTAACCTGTAACTGGAAGTTGTCAAATATATTAAATTTGAACACGATCAATGCCGAGGTGGCTTTGGTTGTTTTAACAACCGGTGTGAGAAAAAGAAACGGATTTTTGTAGATAGTGGAGGGTTCAAAGAAATTTTTGTGTGGTTAGTCAGTTGACTTATTTTGACTTTGATCTACTTTGAGAAAGAAGTAGATAATTTAAAACTGCGTTTTTGAGATTTATTATATACAAATTCCAGTAAAGTTTCGTCAAATTGAAACCTGTTTAATTTAACGTTATATATTTAAATGAGTATAGACGTTTAGAGATGCCTAGAGTTATTTTGACTAGTGGAACGAAGGTATACAATAAACGTTTATTTACTAGTTACTCATTGTTAACCATGAGACAAATATTTATATTGTTCACATTTACATTTATTTTTTTAGTTCATTTTATAATTACAGAAATTTTACATTGTTGTAGTTCATGCCGAAAATGTAGAGAGATAGAAATATAAAAATCCGCCTTTTTAATTTCAATTAAAAATAGAAAACAACCAATTAGACAAACTAATTTAACTAGTCGTTATTGGGTGAACTCAAGGAAGCGTAAAATGAAGACACGGATAGTTAGATTGATTCCAGTTTAACTACTTTTGCAGTTTTTACTGTAGTTTATATTTCAAAGGCTTAACGAATAAAAACACATCTGACGTCCGTAGATTTTTAAATTCATAACAAAAAGTTTCAATTCTCATTCCTTCTAGAGGTTAACGTTATTTTAATAAAACAAGATTGCAAAGTTCGGGATAAAATAAATATCACGGCTTCACTTAGCTTATAAAAATAAATAAAATCTCTCATCTAAAAATGAAATGTAGAAACGTAACGTTCTTTTGCAAGTGAAATGTATTAAGTATTTAATTTTTTAAAATTTAGAATTCATGCCAAATCTCAAATATTTCTGTGTTTGATACTAGAACCTAGATGTATAGGCATGACTTCATTTCGCTACCTCAAATTTATGAACCTGACTGACGATTTTATAAAACACGAAATTACATCAACCATTTATAATACTTTTAGATCTGTAGATCTACATCGATTTTTTTTTGTATAATTTTTGCTATTACAAAATCATTGTAAAAATATTGTGTAATTTTCTGCGAAATTCACTTTAAGGCCAGTCGCTACGTGTGGAATTTTCGATCTATTTACAGAATTTAATATCTTCGTTATTAACAGACCTACGATTTTGAAATTTTAAATACAGGGTGTTTTTTAAATGCACGGAAAAATTGTTTGGGGTATAGAGATATATACAGGGTGTTTCTTTTATTTGATACAACCCCTGTAACTTTTTTATTCTTGAAGATAAACCCGTAGTTCTTTAACCAAATTTGTATCATTCTCAAAGATTTATATGATGGTAAGCACATATTTTTATTATCACTGGCGGTAGAACCGGAAATGACGCCAACTTATTTTTTTTAATGGAACACTAGGTATATTTTTTGATAAATGGAAAGATTGATTTTTGACTACAAAAAATCACAAGCAACCAATATTCTAAAATCAATAATAAAAAAGTTATTTAGTAAAATATCTCCAAAATTTTCCGTTTATTTCAAAATCTAGTTGCTTGAAAAACAATTGCAAAATTGTTGTCATCACTAGATCTTTTAAAATGATACAAATTTGCTCAAAGAACTACAGATTTATCTTTAAAAATAAAAAATTTACAGGGGTTGTATCAAATAAAAGAAACACCCGGTATAGTATAGAGACCATATATCAAAAATCGTTCTAATAATTTTTTTTTTTAATTTTTGAGATAAAATTCAATGAGATTTTATGCAAAATTTCCCCTACGCTACTGATTTTACGAAGATAGAAGTTACCATAAAAAAATTAAAAAGGTAAAAAATAGGTTGCTTAGCAAAAATGATGACAGATTCATCGGACGTTTGTCGTGAGTTAAAAATGGCAGATTTTTCGAATGCTGAAATGCCCGATATGGTCCTCACGTACGGGCAAGCGGTAGGAAACATTTCCTGAACATGGGTTGCCCAACCTTAAAACCTTTGCTGCCGTTGTACAGCGATTACGAGAAAACGGCAAATTTCAACCTTGTTGCAACGATCGTGGTCGTGAAAGAACTGAGCGTGTGCTCGACGCCGAGGAAGAAATTTTGAATTCTGTTGGAGAAAATCCAAGGATAAGCGTTAGAAGATTGTCCTATCGAATTGGAGTTTCACCATTTGTGGTTTGAGAACACTAAATGGGCAGCGTCTGTTTCCATACCACATACGAGTTCAACACTTAAAACCCGAAGATTTTCCGAGTAGGGTTCATTTCTTCGAGTGGCTGTGTGCCAAAAATAGAAAGGATCCTCAATTCGTTACAATGTTGCTTTCAACAGACGAAGCAACATTCACGAGAGATGGTGTATTTAACTCGCACAGTACCCATCTTTGGTGTGATGAAAACCCAGATGCAATTCAAGAAAGGAATTTTTGGCCTCCCGATCTGTAAAGAGCTCATTTTTGACCAATAATTTGGTAAACATTTTGGAGAAAGTACCGCTGGCAACAAGAAGAAATATGTGGTATCTCCAAGATGGGGCGTCTGCTCATTAGGCAAGAGAGGTGAGAAGATTCGTTTGGCAAAACTTTCCTGAAAATTGGATGGGAAGAAATGGACCGGTTCTGTGGCCTCCTCGATCACCTGATCTTAACGCTTGTGATTTCTTTCTATGGGGTCACATGAAACAGTTAGTGTACCGAACTCCAGTCAATACTGTCGAGGAACTTATAAACGGAATACAGAACGGTGCTGCTGAAGTTAGGGCCAATAGCGATTTGATAGGCAGAACGCATCAAAGTTTAATTCGGGGTGCTGAGGCATGTATACGAAATAGTGCCGAGATTTGGAGCATTTGTTGTAATTTTGACACTCTACGTAGGTTGTATTTTGTTTATCTGGTTTATTAAAGAACAATTTTCGAGTTTTACTTGTCAATTTTGAGTTGACAAATATTCAATTATCACTTCATCTTTGTAGAATAAATTAATAGTAGCAATCGTTGTACTCTTTAGCTGCTAAGGTTTCAACAATAGCTTTTCGTGTATTTCCATAACACCCTGTATATGTTGTCCATAACTTTCTTTATATAACGCCAGGACAATTTTGTTAAAAACAGTTTGTGATCATTTTTTTCTTTTAATTTTAGTGAAATTTTTTCATAACGTATTTTTAATAATCAGTATCTCAGTTATTAAAGAAATTTCAAAACACGATTTTCAACACACTTTTCAGTTTACAAAACTCCAGAAATCCTACCAGATATATCGTCGATTTTTTTTTTGTTAGAAACGATACACAAAAAAAGTTTGTGTCATAGAAGTTGCTAACTTTTATTTTTACTAATCTCAGTCCCAACAAATAAAGTCAAAATAGACCTAGTCCGATTTCTAAAGTTTTGCAAGCTGAAAACAATGGTGACAACTCCGTTCCAAAATTTCCATAAATAACTGAACTATTGATTTTTTAAAATACGTGATACAAAAATTTTAGCAAAATTAAAAAAATATATGATAATAATAAATTGTTAAAAAAAACTGCCCTGGCAGTTATGTGGTGAAAGTTGTAGACAAGTTACATTTAAAATTTCATAACCATAGGTGTGTTAATAATGGAGATATTACATTCCGAAAATATATTGACAACACCGTAAGATCCAAACGTAGCGACTCCTATTAAGCCTCATGTATGTAATTTTTATTTTTTCACACTAAATTACATTTTCAGGTATTGTTTGTTTCAACATCGCCGTCCAAACTAAAATACTGATAGATTCGTTTCATATTTTAAATGCATATACAGAAAATACAAATTTTGTGTTATTATAAAAAAGTCTACATTGTAAATAAATGTAATAAATTAAACCACATTTTGTAAAGAAAAATATTTTTTTCTGAAATATCAAAAACCTTTGATTAACTCAATATTTGATCGTCCAAAGTTTGAAAACTGTGTAGTCTAACTAAATTTATAGCGTGATGATGACCGACAGTAGTTATAAATTTCACAAATCTTTCCCGTTTCTCAACCAGAAGGGGCTGTATTATTTTGTATTTGCGAATATTACAGGGCCGTACTTGAATTTATATTAAATACTATCTAGGCATATTATTTTCCTTCATCTTCAGCCACTGAGGCAACTGTGAACTGTGTATACTTACTCATTGCTCAGGAATGCAGCCAATATTGATAGTTTTACCAATTGTTCGTTTTCAATTCTTCCTTGTTTACAAATAATGCTTCAATTTCTTCCTTGTTTGAGGCAGAGTTGTCATATTTTGATCGTAAAGAACTTTTGTGTTCTTAATATCTATACTAATAAATAATAAATAATATATAATGTATATTATAATTATAATAAATCTTCTACTCAAATATTTTAAAATCCTGCACGTAGTATTATATTTTTTTTAATTCCTGAGCGTAAACTAAGGAAGTATTGTAATCGAGTCCATTGGGTGACTGGCAGCTTTCATATTTTCTCGATGGGTCTCCCGTTTCCGTCTATCTGCCTGTCCGTCTGCCGTCTGTGTCAATTTTTGTTAAATAAATAATCTCCGAAACTACCGAACCGATTTTTGTCAAATTTTATATATGTACTACGAATATCATGTAGACGGTAAAACACTATTCAAACTTTGTCTAATCGTCCTCACCAACAATGTTCACCTCAAAATTGTACATAATAAATGGGTTTTAAATTGTATCAGAATCAGGTAACATAGTTCTTCACAAGTAGTTTATGAATTCATGTTGAGTTTTTACCCGAAACGTCCCGATTTTTGGAAAAAAGTCAAAATTTTATAACAATATTTTGCATGGTAAATTTTTATTCAAAATATATTTGCTAATCCCCCAGAAAAATGATGACGTCACGTCAAAATTTTACCAAATAAATCCTACCTAAAAAGCGCAAAATGTGATGAGTCTATACTTCTGATTTATCATTGTATTCATATTTTTTAGATTTGCTTATACAGGGTGACCCAAAAAAGTGTATTAATTACTCAATTTATTTAATTGATTAATCAGGAACTGAAGAACTGAATGCCTTAAAATCTTGCAGAAATTATTGTCGAGACGGTAAATTTTTAATCAAAACGTGTATGTTTATCCCCCGAAAAAATTGATGACGTCATCTTGTGATTTATCATTGCATTAATATTGTTTTACTTATTTTATTGAATAAATCGGTAACTGCGAAACCGAATGCGTTGAAATCTTTTTAAGGTTATCGTGATCAAAATGTATTCATTTGTCTCCTCCCAAAAAATTCATGACGTCATCTCAAAATTTTCTGGAATAAATCCTGTCTGAATTATACAAAATATTATCACTCTGTACTTGTGATTTATCATTGCACTAATATTTTTTTGATTTGCTATTGCAGGTGGCTCGAAAAAATTCATGAATGAATCATTTTTCTTTTATTGATCAAATCAAGAACGGCTCAATACAATACTATATTATATCCAATCCAAGTTGATATACTATGGCCTTGCAAAAATGGTCATGACGTCATCACAAAATTTTGAAAGTAAAAACTAAAATCTCATTTGAAACATACATGTAGCACGCTTCTTTACGTTTACTTTAAAATTACATATTTAATTATTTACATATATTTATTCTAATAAAAGAAAATAAAATTCAAATTTTATAATTTTTCGAATGTATGTATGTCTCATTGTACGTCAGGGACGAGGGAAATGTTTTTTATGTTTTGTGCAACATCATATCAAGGAAAATTAATTATTAGAATAATCATCTCAAGATTTTGGACTTGCTTCCTGAACTGAAATCTCTTTTTTTTTTCAAAAAATGTAAAATAACCCAATATCAATTCATTTTACCAAGTATTAATTTTCTATTCTGAGCTCCACGAGAGAGTATTTTCTCCAAAGTAAACAATGGAATTTTTAGCGGTAGATTTTTTTTGTTACAGCTCAATTTCTTCTTCCGCATTTTTAACGTTCATTTACATTAAAAAATCACCTGTTTAACTTTTAATGGCAAAAGTTTTGTACGAAGTTGAAATATTTGCTTACACTTTTTTTTCTTTTCTTACATCCAGTGATCTGTGAAATTTAAAAATGTTGTAAATTTTCCGCTTCTTAGTAATGGCAGACTTTTTAAAATTTCAATTAATATGATTAATTTGTTATCTGCCAGAATAATTCTAACACTGGAACCGTCTTGCCATTATAGTTATACACTCCAAAAGAAGCGGAAAAAACTAAAATGTTAGAATTTATGCGACAGAAAAATATACAGATACTTTTCTGTCGTATAGGTAAAAGCATAGTCTTCACAAAGACCGTTTTTAACGAAAAAGGAAATACACAAAGTAGAGCACAAATCGGTACAAGTACCTATTAAATAAGCTTACGGAGAGGAAATGGTTATTTCGAGACCCACCAGGAAAGTTTTACTTCTTACTGCCATTATTGTATATAAAAGACAGGCAATAGCGAAAAAAGACTATAAGCGGCTAAATATCGACTTTATTGAGGTTTGTAAGGATTTCATGTCATATTTCTGAGGAATGTGAATCAGCAGTCGGTTAAAGTTATTGTTTTCGGCACCTTAGAAGATTTAAGAAACATAAGTATTTTTTAGTACATAACAAAAACCAAAGAAAACTCTCCGGCAAATATGTGTCTAAATAATTTAGTTATGATAGTTTAAGTATCAAAGCAATAATCACGCTATAATTTTAGTTGGATTTTATCAAAGATTTAAAAGAAACATTTAAGAGAGTAATAATTTAAAATCTACACAAAAAAGAAAAAGTAAAAGCTAAACAAATTTTCATAAGTCTATAATAAGCAATCATTAGAATAGTAAACAATGTAATGAGACTAAAGATTTGTAATCGGGGTTTAGCGTAGTCGCAACCAAGTTATGTCTCACGAAATTCTATAAATAAGCCTAGATAATGCTTAAACAATTCACGTGTGTAAATAAATTTCCAAGTGCAGTTAATAGTAACACAACCACTCCACTAAAAAATGCCGCTTTTAATTTTTCACCATACACCGACTGGTCCAAAAAGCACAAACACTGCCGCTGCGGAACTAACACTTGCACATTAACCACTTACACCCGCACTAAATGTACCTGTACTTTCCATTATACCTTGCATTTTAGCAAATAAAGTCTTTTTTATTCAACTCGTTTTATTTGTGCATGCAATTAGCCACAACTGGCTCCATTTCCATTTATTTTCAAGCCAAACCCGCACTAAGAGAGGACGGCTATCAAACCTAGCTCCCTCTAACGCCGGCAATCACACGAGGAAGACCCCACCGTGACAATAATTCTCGTTTTTATAGGTAAAGTTGTGCATGTGTGTAAGCATGTCCAGCAGCAATCCAGCGTTTTCTTTAATGCCGCACTTAGTTCCCAGCATGGTATTGATTTGACCTGCATAATGTTCGATACAGACTGTACAGTCAGCCGACCTACCATAAAAGAGAGTCCTGCACGTCGGAGGTGACCACCACCACGCTGGTCACCGTCAACGGCGGCACGACGCGGCCCTCTTCCAACGGGGGCGGCCAGTCCCGCAGCCCATTCCTGCATCCGCCGCGCCCCAGCTACGGGGGCAACGTCTAAGTCCATTTATGTAAATATTTCAATTTCGGGTTTCTCTCGATGTCTCGATGTATTTTTTTAAATACGAACGAATAAGTCTCTGTGGTCACAAGTCTCTTTCAGATGTAGTGTATCCGTTTATTCTGGGTCCCGCTGGTATTGTTTTGTGAACAGGGTACTGTACGGGGTTAATAAAATACAGTTCCATCCAGATGGCAGTTTTATTTGCGGAATGACCGGATGAGTGCTTGCATGCGTATTTGTCATGGGTTTACGTTCCTCCTATTTATATATGTTTTTTTTTCCTCTAATTTCAGCTTTCAACTTTTTTTACTTTAATAAGTGTTATTTGTTGCTAATTATATTTCTTTAATTAATCCAGTAGAAGCAACGTCTAAAAACTTGTGTATACATCATTGAGCTTAATTTACGACAATCAACTGGTAAGTATTAATACTACAGATTTGCCAACAAAAACAAGGTGGGGAAGGATAATGGCAAGAAAAGGAGATTGAAATTGGAAATTGAGTGCAGCGGAAATAAGAGATAGATAATGGATAAAATAGAATCAATCGATTACATAGGACTAACAGAAACGGTTGACCAGAAGAAGCATTGCTGGAATGCTGTCAAAAGTTTTAAAAGAGAGGAACATACCAAGAGCTAAAAAATTCGAGTTTATGAAACGATTATCTCAGAACGACTGTGTGCTTGCAAAGCATTGATACTGGACATAAAAGACGAGTCTGAAATATTGGAAGTAAAATTCTAACAAAAATATTCAAAAGGATTAAAGTTAAGCAGTGAACGACAAATGCGAGTGAATAAAGAAATATTACATAATTTTGACAAGTTGTTACAAATTAAAATCCGAAAAAAAACACCAGAAAAGTATTAATATGCGGTAAGTATGGAAGAAAAAGAAATTGATGAAAACATCAAGAATAAATTGTTATATGTATAAGATTTACAACACGGGCAACTTTTTTTTATAACGACAGAAGTTTGACGTTGATAATTTTTTAACGGTAAAACCTGGTTTGTTACATACTTATTTCAAAACTGGGAAAAACTGGATTATAAAAGAAAAAAAAATTCGTATGAAAAGCACGAAAACATGAATAAAAATTGCAGAAAATTAGTATTTTTATAAAACTGCTCCAAGTCACATTTTTTTTACACAAACGATATTTTGTGAAGAAATAGGAAACATAAAAATCAAAATTGATAAATTAAACATAATTTTAAATGTGTGTTCAAAATTGTCACGCCCTAAACAAAAATAAAACAATAGGGTCGAATGTTAACAGTATAGTGAGGCGTAGCACCATCTTATTGAAACCAAATTTGGCTATCAGACACGTCCTCAGCCGATATTATTCGTAAACAGCAATTTTTCTGACAAAAACTGATTTTACTGTATCCCATTTTCGACAAAAAAAGTCGATAACGTTCCCGTAACATGAAAACAGTGGTGAAGATTGGTTCCGAAATTTCTATAAATAACTGAAATAGGTAGGTATTGATTTTTAAAAATACGTGATGAAAAATTTTACCAAAATAAAAAAAGATGATGATAACGTCTTTTTAAAAAATTGTGGACAAATTATATGTAAAATTTCATAACAATAGGAATAGAGAAAATGAAAATTCTGAAAATAGACTGACGCTCACAACAAAAAAATCAAGGGACTGGTCTTAAACGAGAAAAGTCTACTTATTTGCTTCTCTACAAAACCACATCAAACACTTTGCCCACATTCTGGGTGTGGAATTTGCGCATTCAGCGTATCTCCGAAACTACTAAATTAGTTGTGAAATTTTAGTGTATTTGAAGGATACCGTAAAGCGCTAAATAAAATTTGTCTGATCATTTCCACCAAAAAATTGTTGACGTCAACTCAAAATTTTGCTAAGTAAATCCTATTTAAAATATGCAAAATAATATGCTATTAAACTTTCTTAGTTTTTGAAAAAAGAACTCAAAATGTGTAACCAAATTTTGCAGTTGAATTTCAAACTAGAAAATGGGTAATTTGAACCTTGGCGGACAATTTAAGGTTATCCTAAACATGATAAACCGATAGAATTCATCTATTCTTCCATTTTAAAAATTTTATTTTGACTTGTCAAGCGTAAGCTAAGAAAGTATTGTAATAAGGTCCATATGGTCAGTGGGTACTTACACGTTTTTCTCCTCAAGAAACTACTAAACTTTAGATTATTCACGCCAACAATTTGATGAAAATTTTGGTTAATAAATGTTATAAAAATTTTGGAAAGTAGCATACTCCTGTGCTTGTAGTTTATGAATTTACCTTGATTTTATTTGTTGTTATTATTATAATGTTTGTTATTCAATTTTTCTCATAGTAACAGTGATCTTTAAATACATAATACCAACGAAGGGTCTGGTCGATCTCCACTATATCCATTTTTTCCCTTATATTGTGACTGGTTTATCCGTACTTTAGAAGTCCATACATATCTTCACTTTAAATTATAAGTGTTACCTATTTTATTTCTACAATTTTTCGAAGAAGCTGAATTTGTTAGACTGTACTTCGGAGGGTGTAAAAAACCTTGGACTAATTTTTTATTAAGAAATCTGATTTTTCGTTAATTAGAAAATCCTACGAAATATTTTTTTTTCAATCAAAGAATTAGGCTAACAAGCAGAGAGAGTTTATGGTTTCTTAGAATAATGTGTTTGTATCAATGCAAAATCGAGTCCTCACATGAAACATGCGAATGGCATGATCTTTTGTGTGTAGTAACACAAAAAATATTTATTTTAACTTATAGGGAAAACGTTGGATACGTAGTTCAGAGTCCAGGGAAATTCTGTAGAAATAATATTCAATCAATTTTTTAAATAATAATCTCTCTTGAAATTGGAAAAGTTAAAGCGGAAATTTAATTTATTGATTGAATCAAAAACGACTTGTCTAATTTTCCAGAAATGTTGGAATTATATAGTGTTACATGTTATATGTAACACTCTTATGTTTTTGTGACCCCCAGAATTTTGGTTAGTAGTATTAATTTATTATTTGCCTTACAGGCTTAATAATATTCCCACTAGGGGTACAAAATAACTTAATCTACATCAGATAAATCAATAACAATAAAAATAAATAAAATAAAATAAAATAAAAAAATAAAAAATAAAAATAAAAATTCGAGTGTTATATAATAAATATTCTATTCTTTCTGCTTGCCCACCCCTTGCCATAGTTCCCTTATCTTCCATACTCTCAATCCTTCACATCCTTCCAGCATATGGTCTATTGTTTCTCCCTATCTCCAACATATCCTACACCTTCTGTCAGTTTCATCCATCCATCCAAAAATTATTCTCTTTCTCTTGATTTCCACACCTAAATCTCGCCATCATTCTTTTTTCTTTTATACTCTCTCTCTCTCTCTGTGTGTACTTTGGTACTTCATCCTTTACTATTTTTCTATAGTCTGCATTATATCTAGACTCCGATATTCTCGATCTACGTTCTTGCTTATCTATATCCTTATCTCTTACACTCAGTTCTTCTTTCATACTCCATCCCATTTCTCTCATTCCCTCTATTTCTTCACATGCATATCCCTTTCCTTCATAATACTTGTCCCTTTCGTTCCAAACATGTTTTCCCCCTTCCTTTCTTATTTCTTTCCAACATTCTTGCAATATCTTGCAACCACCTCTCTCACTGAACTTTTCTTCAAATCCAACCGCCTTTTTACCCGCTTCCACTCTCATTTTCTCCCTTTTTGTTTATTCTCTCACTATATACCCCGGCGTGTACTTTTCCAATCCCAATGTCCATTTCAAGTATTTTTCTTGCACTCTCTCTATTTCTTCATATTTCCTCCATCCCCAAATCTCAGCTCCGTACATAAATACACTTTTGATCAAACTATCAAACATCATCATTCTTCTCTTATAATCATGTCCAAATTTTCTCTCTCCTATTCCCCATACTATTCCTATCACTTTGTTCGCTTTTTGGACCATTTCTTGAATATGCGCTCTATCTGAGTTATTGTTCTTTAATGTATATCCTAAGTACTGGAATTCTTTCACGTGTTCAATGTTCTTCCCTCTCCATGCCCAATCTTCCTTCTCCTTTCTTACTTTCTTCCCAAACACCACCATTTTTGTTTTTTCCACATTCACTTCCAATTCCTTGTTTTTACATACTTCTCCAAACTTTTAATAATTGCTTTCATTTCTTCTCTTTTCTTTGCCACAATCACCAAATTATCTGCGTACGCCAACGACCACACTTTCTCTTTGCCGACTACCACCCCTCCTGTCTGTGCTTTTCTGAACATTTCATCTATATCTCCTAGATAAGCTGCAAACAATGCGGGGCTGAGTGGGCATCCTTGTCTCACTCTTCTATTTGTATAAAAACTCTCACTCTCTATTCCATTCACTTTCTCCTCTAATACTCCCACATTTTCTCTCTATTCATGATATCAAACGCTGCTTTGAAATCTATGAACAATGCGTACATTCGTCCACCGTCTTTCCTTGTTTCTCTTCCCACTAAATGCCGCAGGATGTACACATTGT